AGACGAATGACGGGAGGGTGTAGAATCCTCGTTATAAGGCTCCCCCAAGAGGTTACTCTCTAAACCCCAAGCCCTAAAGCCTACACCCTAAACCCTAAGCCCTAAACCCTAACCCCTAACCCCTAACCCCAAACCCCAAACCCCTAACCCTAACCCCTATCCCCTATCCCCTACCCCTAACCACTAACCCTAACCCCTAACCTCTAACCTCTAACCCCTAACCCCTAACCCCTAACCCCTAACCTCTAAACCCTAACCCTAAGCCCTAAGCCCATAACCCTAACCCTAACCCTGACCCTAACCCCTAACCGTTAACCCCTAACCCCTAACCCTAAGCCAATCTCGGAGGCTTTTCGTGGAGTTGGTGACTCGAGTCGAGCCCGAGGGCACCTTGGAGGCCACATCTTGGTTTAGCGGTGTCGGGTTTAGGGGTGTAGCGTTTAGGGGTTTAGGGTTTAGGGTTTAGGGTTTAGGGCTGAGGGTTTTGGATGTTTTTGGTAGGGTTGCCGGGTTTTAGGGCTTAGGGTTTAGGGTACAGGGCTGAGGGTTTTGATGTTTTTGTAGGGTTGGAGGGTTTAGGGTTTAGGGTTTAGGGTACAGGGCTGAGGGTTTTGATGTTTTTTGTAGGGTTGGCGGTTTTAGGGTTGAGGATTTAGGGTATAGGGCTGAGGGTTCTTGATGTTTTTTGTGGGGTTGGGGGTTTTCGGGTTTAGGTTTCGGGTATAGGGCTGAGGGTTCTTGATGTTTTCTGTGGGGTTGGGGGTTTAGGTTTTTTTTGGTAGGGTTGGGAGGGTTTTAGCACTTAGGACTTAGGTTTCTGCAGAGGTCAGGGAAGGGAGTGTATGATGTCATGGTGTTACTGTTGATGATATAAATCCTGCATTACCTTCAGGACCCTAAACTATGGGAATCATGGTATATTCCTTAATATGGGTAGTGATTTATATCATCAACCATATGGGGGTTTGGGCTCTATACGCTCTCGTAGGGGCGAGGGGTTTAGATGTGTAGGATCGTTTGGGATGCATATGGAGTTTAGGGTTTGGAGTTTAGGGTTTAGGGGTGTAGGGTTTAGGGGTTAGGGTTCAGGGTGTAGGGTTTAGGGTTTAGGGTTTAGGGGCTTAGGGGTGTAGAATTGAGGGGTGTAGGGTTCAGGGTTTAGGGTTTAGGGGTGTAGGGTTTAGGGTTTAGGGGTGTAGGGTTTAGGGGTGTAGGGTTTAGAGTTTAGGGGTGT